TATTTTTAATTCATTAGGGATATCATAGTAATCAACCAGCGTGAGAGTTAACGTGAGCGTGACACCTAAGAAAGTGTCTTCTCAAATAATATTATAGAGATCTATGTTTCGCTCAATTTAGAGCAGCAGCATCAAAGGCTCTTAGAGCAGGTTCACACGCATCTCAAGACAAATAGTAGTGAACTCGCCTCGTCTCACCCCTCTGCGGTGAACCCGTTTCACAACTGTTTTGCGGGCCCCACACCATATGGCGGCCCGCTATTGGTTCAAATTTTTATTTTTTATTTTAGAAAAAATAAACGAAAAAAATAAAAAAATTGAAAAAGCCACGTGGCGAACCTGTGTCCAGGTTTACTGATGCTACTGCTCTTATAAATTTTATGTGTGTTTTGTGTTAGCTTTGCAACAGGAAGTTAATTGTTAGAGAACAAAGCATTTATATATGTATATAGATATTTTTTCTTTCTCAAATATGAGTTCCCAACAAGAAAGGAGATTTTGAACTAATTTTAACATATTGAGGAGGAGATTAGAAGAGACGACTCAAATTATTTCTTGCCACTTTTCTTAAGACCAGCACCACCGAATGATCCCTTTTGTGATGCCTTGCTTCTGAGTTCTTTAAGCGCCTGTTTCCATCAATACAAAAAAATCACTTTATCTTAAGATTGTTCAATGAATCAAGACTACAAAATTAGAAGAAAAGAATCAGTATCTTACCTTCTCTTCATCCTTCTTTTTCTGCATTAACTCCTTATCGTGCTGCATTCAGACACATTGTGTTAAAACAGTTAAAAAACGATCGACCAAATTAAAGATTCGAATACAGGATTTCAAGCTGATGTTTTATGATCATCATTGTGTTAAAACAGTTAAAAAACGATCGACCAAATTAAAGATTCGAATACAGGATTTCAAGCTGATGTTTTATGATCATCATTGTGTTAAAACAGTTAAAAAACGATCGACCAAATTAAAGATTCGAATACAGGATTTCAAGCTGATGTTTTATGATCATCATAGCTCAACTCATGCACTAGGCCACATGCACACAAATGTTTTCAAGATAAAATGGGTTAGTTGTAAGAGAAAGATCATACCTCATCGTATTCCTTTTTACCAGACTTAGGCTGCTTCAAGGGTTTCAATTTCCCTCCTGAAAACACCATACATAGAAACAGATTATTCCCAAAACATATTACGTATCGAACGTTTTACAAAGAACCATGTCAAATAAAAAGAAACATATTTTTGAATTATGCGTTAAGAGCACACAAGATCCATAAACCGGCTGGTTGATTGATGAATGTATCCATGATATCAAATGTGAAAGCAAACGCATCTTAACAAAACAATTGATGCAAAATATATCAAAACGATTTTCCATAAATATCAGAAACCTGTATTAGATAATTCCGATGTGGGCTTGTTATGGGCTTAAACTAATCTACTACTATATAAAGGGTTTGTTATGGGCTTCCAACTTAAAACCAATTGGTGATTAGTGGATTGGCCATAACCCTTTATATAGTAGTAGATTAATTCTTATATTTCCGATGTGGGATGTTTCTCATCAATACCCTCCCTCACGCTCAGACATCTCTAGGTCTGAAGCGTGGACAATGTGGGAATAACATCCACGGAGGATCCAACATCGGTACAGTAGTAGTTGTAGTAAATTAGGTCAAAGGATCTTATTGCTCTGATACCATGTTAGATTCGGGTTTGTTATGGGCTTCCAACTTAAAACCAATTGGTGATTAGTGGATTGGCCATAACCCTTTATATAGTAGTAGATTAATTCTTATATTTCCGATGTGGGATGTTTCTCATCAATAGATAATATTAACGGAGTTGAGAGAAGGACAATGATCACCTTGCTTGGAAGACATGGCTGAGGGGTTAGGGTTAGACCTGAAACTCGAGGAGAAAATAGATATGAACTTTTCCCTAATCCCCAAAACACAACAATTATCTCTGTTCCTTCGAGTTTAGATGATCTGGTTCTTTTCCTGCGATCATATAAATATATATTAAAATGGCTTCTTCGATAAAAATAGCCAAGTTATATATAGATAGAGCAAAGGTATATCAGCAAAGTTACAAAACCCAACGGCTATAAACAAGAAAACGATATAAAAGTAGTAGGGAAGGGACTATTCTATTGCGTCTCATTCAGAAGATGCGTGTTGGATGTTTGTCACCGGACATGATCATGTTAAAAAAGACCAAATAATGGAAATCCCTGAGTGGTCTGTAAATTTGAGTCTGAATACAAAGACAGATGTGTATACAAGTGTTACATACTTGCATGCAATAATATATGGCATCATGGACTTGGGTACAAATAAGGACTTGGGTACAAAAAAAAAGGATTAAGTTACGATGTGAACCCCACATTCAGAAACAAGGGAAGTTCGATTCTATCTTTAACTCACCTTGGGTCCATCACTGTGATAGTAACCCTATTTGCCGATACATTTTCTGGCTCCGGTCTCTCGATATACTATGATAACCCATTCTGTGAAAGCTCACAGCGCTGCAGTGCATCAATCATAATCTTTTTTCATGTGAATCTTCACTGACTCCTCCATGTAGGTTATTGATGCTTTTGACGCTACTCGAACCCATGATCTCACCCTTTAACAACCTTTCCACTGAACGAACTGTCACCAATTAAACTGCAAAATCAATTGATGATAGCCCGTTCAGTGGAAGAGTTGTTAAAGGGTGAGATCTTGGGTTTGAGTAGCGCCAAGCACATCAATAACCTAAATGGAAGAGTTAGTGAGGATTCACATGGGAGGAGTTAGAATCGATGTGCTGCAACGCTGTGAGCTTCCACGGGATTGATTATCACAAAATCAAATTTTTTTTTTAACTTCCACGAGATGGGTTGTCACATATCCATTTCCGTCAACCTTCTCCGAGGGCCATCATAGAAAGCTGGCTCTTTAGGCAAAGAAAGAACATTATTGCCTTAGTCGTAAATCATGGACACAACATCTAACATACTTGGTCTATCCTCTGCGTTTTCTTGTTTACACAAGAGGCAACATAAACGCATCTTAACACTTAAGGGTTCTCAAGTGCAGAGTCTCCCAAAGACTGATCTATCACCTCGTGATTTCGGTTCTCTTTAAACACATTCCACGCCTGTAGAAAGAAAAACAGAGTTTCGTAAAGGTTCCAATATGCTAACAATGAAACTAGAAGAAAAAGTTTAGTATTTTACATGAACTATGAGATTCAGAGTCCCTTCTGAATAATGGTGGAAATTATTGTTCTTCCTTCCACATATAATTTCGAGCATTAGAACACCGAAGCTGAACACATATGATTTAGCCGAGAATAGTCCTTCTCTGAAGTACTCTGGAGATATATAACCACTACATACAACACAAATAAACTCAATTAAAATCTGATCATGGTATCAAATTTCTAACATTAGTTTTTCTCTGATGTGACCTTTTTTTTGAAACACCATCCGATGTGACCCTAAACTTACCAGCAACGACTAAGAGCATCTCATTAATGAATTTTAAGGGGGATTCACACAGATTCCCAAATTTTTTTTCTTTTCATTTGATTTAAATAAAAGAGATTTAATAAACCAACCAATCGTGGCCATCACGTGTCGTGGAGTCCACGAAACAGTGTTGAATCCGTATCACTGCAGTCAACTCTGCGGTGAACAGTGTTGAACCTGTTTGATTATTATAAGGTTTTTTTTTTTGAGAAATGGGTGAACCCCATCAATAATTCCTTGATGAGAATGTTCTAAAGCTACAAAGGAATATTTTTAAACTAGATGTTCACTATAGATTTTACTAAAATTTTTGTTATATTTACTATTTTACATTGACATTAATTGACTGATACATGTGAGCAATTATAAGTTCATAGAATTGATTTAAACACTTAATCGTAAAAGAAGTTTTAAATTTTATTTTTGATGTTAATTAATAAACTTCTTTACCTTAGCACACGAATCTTGTTCAGCTGTATGCTGCATCGAGAAGGATGAGAAAATAAGCATGGCCTCGTTCTTGAACTCCACTAATCCTTGGCCTGATGTTATTGATAGTTTCTTGATTGCAACTTCTTCCCCATCTAATAACATCTCTTCAAGAAAGTAGATGAAACATCAAAATCATCTCTTTAAAATCTAAATGCATATAAGCAGGACTTTTATTTTTAAGTTTATCAATTAATAAAACTAAAGAAAATATTATACTCCTTCAGTTCCACAGAGATACAGTTTTAGGAAAAAAATTATTTCACATAGATATAATTTTGTGTTATTCTATGAATTTTTGATTATTTAATAATAGTAAATTGTAACTTTCAACAAAATTAATTGAGTTACTGTTAATTTAATTTTATTGAAAATTGATATTCGCAGAAAATGATGCATTTGTGAAAAAATTAATTTAATTTCTTAATATGTGTAAATAATTCAGAAATATTATTTTGTAAAATAGATGAAGTTTCAAACACATGTAAAAATTAATTTATTTGCAAGAACCTTTAACTGCATTTACTTATGTTTAAAACTTCATCTATTTTAAAAAATATATTAATTAACATTAAATGCTTGAAACAAGCAAGTAAGATGTTACTCTTATAATTAACTGAAGTAATAAAGGAATTTTTTTGTTGCAAAACATCTTGAAAATATTAATTTTATCAATTAGTAGAAATCAACCGTAAGAACATTAAAAAGCATTCAATTGTATATAGATATATATATATATATACACATTCATAAATCATGAGAATAGTATCAAGAACAATCCAAAGAAGAAGTTAACAAGTAATCATACATAATGAAGATTAATACAATTTTCATGACATTTTTCATTATTACCATTTTAGTATCATATGCATATCCAAGTTTGGGCCAAGAAAATATTGACGAAATACCACTGGTTAAACCCGGTCACGAGTTTGATACATTGGATGCGAAATCGCCAGCTTCGGAAGATTATAATAATAATATGTTAGAGAACCTCCCACATAAATACATAAAGTATATCGGAACCTGCTTTGGGAAGATGAAGACCATTGGTATTGGAAAATGTAATGACGATGTTATTAAAGAGATTCTTACGAATGAACCTGTTTCAAAAGAGTGTTGTCTGAAGGTAGTAAGAGCTGGAAAAGAATGCCACATGGAGCTGAATAAGTTGACGTTTCGATTGTATCAACTCAAACGTTTTGCTTCTCAAGTTTCTTTTAAAATTAATGAGGTTTGGAACAGATGCTCTACTGAAGTTGAAAGTCTTTCATCATCTGATAATGCCGCGATTCAGTAATCTTAACTGAATCTTTTATTATTATATGATGTATTATGAAATATTTGTTTGTTATACTATTCTAACTAAATAAATAAAATCAATTTTTCATTAGTTTATTCGTTTTCCTAACTCTAATATTGTATTTAAAAAACTTTAATATGATTCTGGGGTTATTCTGACTATTGTTTGTTTATCATAGTCTGTTTAGTTTGTCAAATATAAAACATAATTGAACATGAATCTTGTTAAACACAATCATATATTTCTTTATTTGTAAGTCGAATAAATTAAAAATTTTGAAAATCAAGTAAATTTATAAAAACAAATAAAAAGTGAGAGACCAAGATAGGGAAAATATAATAGGTAACTTTAATTTTTCGTGAACAAAAACGTTAATCTTTTTTTATGGTCCTAGATACGACCTAATATGAAAACTCATGATACCAATTTGTTAATTAATTATCTAAATCTTCTTGTAAAATACAATGTTTTCTACAAAACATATAACATTTTTGTTTTTAAGGCATATATCATCTCTTCTTTTGTAATAATTCACATATAGAATGAAATCATTTTTGTATTCAGAGGATAAAAATATAGATTATCATGAAGAGGGCCAGAGGGACATTTACTTGATCAAAGGGACAATATGCTTATTATTAATAGCCCAATTACTCTATATGGAAAAGAGCATCATGTTTCAACGATTCAGAAAGTTTTATATAACTATAACCAGTAAGAACTCAGATAAACATAAACTTAGAGGATCAACAACCCATGAGAAGAAATTTCATGATTGTCTGTCTTATTAATTGGTGTAGTAATTTAATTATGAATATGAACTATAAATATTAAATAAATGTTATTTATTATTCTGTAAATAAAAACTGAGTTAATATTTATTTATAATAATACGGATTAATATTAATCACGAACTTTTATTATTTAAAGTATAAATTGGAAAGAAATACATATTTACAGTTCAAATAAAAGATATTATCAAAACTTAATCTTAGAAAAGATAATTAACAATATTTTTAAGATATTATTTTGAAAATATTTAAATAATGTGTTAAGTTAAGGTATTTATTTAATAATAATTAAGTTAAATAAATGTAATGGTCTAATCTAGAATATTTGTAAGTAGATTAAAGTTATTTCTGTTTTAATAGTATTGATAGTAACTTCCAACAAAATTAATTGTATTTACTGAGTCACTATTGATTTAAATTTATTTAAAATTGATATTCGCAGAAAATGATGCATTTATGGAAAATTTATTTATTTTTTAATATGTGCAATAATTCAGAAATAATTTTTTAAATAGATGAAGTCTCAAACACATGTAAAAAATTAATTTATTTGCAAAAACCTTTAATGGCATTTATTTATGTTTGAAACTTCATCTATTTTACAAAAAAAAAATTAACATTAAATGCTTGAAACGAATAAGTAAGATATTATACTTATAGGTAACTGAAGTAATAAAGAAATATTTTTGTTGCAAAATATCTTTAAAACATTATTTTTTATCAATTAGTACAAATCAACCGTTAGAACATTCAAGCCCAATCAATTGATATATATACACATTCATTGATCATGAGAATATTATTAAAAACAATTCAAAGAAGAAGTATGGAGACTAAGACAACTTTCAAGATATTTTTCATTATCACTACTTTAGTATCATATGCATATCCAAGTTTGGGACAAGAAAATGTTGACGATGAACCACTTGTTAAACCCGGTCAGGAGTTTGATACATTGGATGCGATGTCACCAGTTTCAAAAGATTACAATATTTATGTACTAAAAACCCTTCCACCAAAAGAAAAAAAGTATCTCGAAACATGTATGGAGAAGATGGGACTCATTGATATTTGGCAATGTCATGCCTGTTGAGATGAAGCAATAAAAGTCCAAGAGAGATCAAAGTAAGAGTATTGGCGCCAGCAAGTATTGTTTGAAGTTATCTTGGGAATCAAGGCATCTGTACAAGTCTTCAAGTGCAAGGAACTAATCTGCCTTCTAGAATGAAGTTAAAGGAGTCCCAAGATAATTAATATATGTTGGATGTCGGCAGTAGGAGGCAA